CGTAGCAGCCAGGGGCGATCGATACCAATCTGCGTGACTAGGGACTCCCTCGAAACACAAGGGGTCGGCACCGATCGTCCTGTCTGCGGCTGCTTTTGTGTATATGGCTTAGGAGTGCTGTTGCAAGAGTACCGCGTCGACGCGCGTTACAATGCGCACATGCGCGTTACAGCGCGTCGACGCGCGTTATCGCGGAGTGTGAACGCTGCCCAAGCGCGAACTCCCCAGTTTTCAGGGGCCTCGAACGTACCGTCTTAGGATCCTCCTTGCGCACTTCGCTGTCTACAACAGCGGTCTTCGGATGAGGGCCACGCATCTTCTGTGCTTCTTGTTCGAAATATCTAAAATAGGACTCATTAAATTTTTCGTAGTGATTTAACTTGTAAGAAAGGATTGTATCGATCGGTCACTGACCATTAAAAAACCCATGAGGCCTGAGTTCTGAAGGTCAACAAAATCACTCTGTAAGAGCTATGAACTCACCTCAGAAACGCGGCGAGTGGATCATGCTCCATGTCCTCATCGTTCTCGACATCAGCTACAGGAGTGGTGGTCTGAAAACGGACTTCTGAGGAGAAAGCATTCAGAAGAAAAGTCATTCTTATGAGCATACCTCTACAGGTACGGTAGTTCTAGCACCAAGACGTGGGAATCTGTCCTCAATGACAACTGGTGCAACAGGTCCCTCAGAGTCTTCATCCGGAATCTGAAAAGCTACTTATTCAGGTATTATTTCCTTCCTTCTCGCCTTTTGATTACGGATATAATACATTTGAACCCTATACGGTCAATGAGACACAAGTCCAGAGGGCCTACCTGTGCTTCCTCAGGCTTCTGCTCCTCTACTGCCTTGAAAATATTCTCTGGCTCAGGCTTCTGTTCCTCAGCTGGCTTGGGGACATTCTCAGTTGGTACGTCAATCTGAAACGAGTTCGCTTTTTCTTGCTAAAAGGTATAGCCGGTGCTACTGCAGACACTGGCCATGCCAGGGGCTGGGTTTGCCACGGCGCCAGCCCATTCTCCACCAATTATTTGAGCGAACAAGCGACAACAATTGCTGTAGAACTGACTGTAGAACTGATTGACGCCATGCCAAGCCCAACCCCTGAGACACCATAGCTTCTGTAGCAG